GAGAGGTATATAGTTAGAGCACGTACATCTTGTTCTGTACGTGTTTACACGGCGCTGCTCAGCGCGCAAGTACTCACGGGAAATATTTGCTTCGCCCTATTCTGTCTGGTCCCGCCACCAAAATTCGTCAGTACAGGAGAAGTCCCATCGTGATTTGAAGGAGAGTATGGCTGGGGTGATTGCGATTTTGATGGAATAGCGTCGGTATTGAGGATCCATGAACAGTGTCTCCACAATACCGCCAGCAGCCGACAGCGGACATTATATCTACGCCACACCACTTCGGTCTCACAACGTTGTTTCTCAACGAAAGGTAAGTGTGTTGTCTGTCCCACTCGTTCAGTTCATCGTTTGTTCCTGTGTTCCTAATAATGATAAGGATGTAACATAGGCCATCGGAATAAAACCTTTTTACATCACTCTTATGATGAGAGGGATATTCGAACTCCCGCCCCCAATGAGACCATATTTCAGGCACGATGATACAGCCAGACCTTAGTCTGGTGTCCTATACGCTCAGCCATCTCACCATTTCCTTTGCTTGCTTTGGGTGGTGATAGGTGCAGAAAGTAGAGCGTAGCGCTAGGAGTGGGCAACATCACTATCTGAGCTGATAGATAGATATGGCGGTAGTTTGGCCAGCAATAGAAGGTTCATATTGGAAAAATATTCGCCTCAAAAAACAGGCAAGAGTCTTCGTTGACGGGACACCGCGCTCTGGAGAGAATGAGTCGGGACTCGGCACGATGGCATGTGGGACCTGTACAAAAAGGAAAGGACCCTACACGACCTATATAGATGTGAGGGAGATTCGAACTCCCGCCCCCGAGCAGACTAGATTGAAGGTACTTACTACGATGAACGGTCACCAAACCTTAGACCTTAGGCCGCTCGGCAACACCACCAATTACTTTATGTGATAGTCAAAGTGCAGGCTGGCGCTGGGAGTGGGCATTGTCAAGGTGATACTTGAAGAGGATTCGACTTAAAATACTGCCAACATTCTTCAATGACGAGACACGGCTCTCTGGAGAGGAAGAGCCGACACGATGGAAGGTGAGCCCTGTACAGGAAACTACAGCGTGCATAGGGGTGGATATCATTCTGGAACATGGTAGTCGAACCCATGCCCACAGTCCTACAGCTATGTTTAACCCGCGGCGTGGATGGTGGGCTGAAGCGTTACTACAGCTTGAGATAATTTCACCGGGTGGAAGTACTGAAGAGAGAATGCGTGCGAAGAACAAGAACTTTGTAGTTCATGCGGGGCATGCGTTCTTCGAATCAGGCTCTGTGTCGTCGCAGAAAACCAAGCCATACAAACTCCTATTGTCCCATTGGGTATCGAATCCCTGCCTCGAGAGAAGCCTCCGCAGCGAGGTCGTGGGTGACTCCTCCCCCAGCAGTCGCTATGAAGGATGCTGGAGGAAACCTATAAAAGGTATCAATACGTGGTCGAGGTGTAATGCACCGAGACTCACAGATATGCACCTTTTCTCTGAAAGAAATTGCGTCTTCCTCAGCAACACTCATTTGGAGGAACGGCTCGTTGTACAGATGTTTCGGATGCACACAGCAACAGCGCACAGACTTTTTCTGAACAAGTAAGGGGGTTCAGCAGTGACGACAGGTTCGTGAGGATCGAGGAGGCGTGCCGGTAGGTATTAATTCTCCAGATGAAGAAAATGTCGGCGCTAAAGCTCGTGGTCCACAATGGTACATGATCAAGACTCGAAATTGAGAATGGTCGGGCTCGACTATGTTGGAACTTGTCGCGTCGTTTCGCCGATTCCTGCACTGTTGAATGTACATGCCTGCAGTAACCATCGTACCAGATTGGAGAATAGACAATTGACAGTAGCTTCTCGGAGTAGCAGTGTATGTTTTGAGCAATCGGCACCCCAGCCATGTGAGATAACGGACCCTCTGATGTGAAACTGAACATCGGGGCCAAAGCGAGACTTTCGGAATGCTTCAAGGGGCAACTTTGTAAGGAGAAACTGAACGAGCATTACCTGAACTTCATGGAAATATCATATCAAAGAAATGTGGAGCGGCGGTTGGTTTGATGAAGACTTTTGCCAAAGTGGCTATGCATAGCTTCCATTTAGTACTTCCAGCAGATTTTTAAGAATACATAACACTCTCGCTGACCAATCGAGAAATCGAATGGAGGGAAAAGCCAGGAACAAATAGTACAGCCACGTCTTCCTAATCTTTCATCGCCGCTGACTTCGGCCCGGGGCTTCCTCTTTCTTCTTCCGAAGTTCAAATCCAGTTCAAATCATAGCTACTGTGGTTCTCTTGTCTTAGCCTGCAACTCCAGTCTTGTCGAAACAAAGGCACTCATCCGTCGATCGTCCTTATATCATGAGGCGACTCGTATTAGGGGAAGCTAGAAACATGGACCTAGACATGTCGCATCACCTCTGCTGACTCCGATTCGTACCACGACATCGGCGACCCTTGCTGGTCACCACCATTTTATTCTGCTCGTATAATCGATCACCCTCATGATTTAGAATAGTACGTTCCTTCTCTCTACTTATCCAGTGCGATAATACCACGTCATGTATCACTTGGCCTTAACAGGGGTACCACTTTTACCGCCATCCCACACAGGAAACCATCTATTGCTGTTGTTTCTCGCGCCTCCAGCAGCTCTCGCCAAACAAATGCCAGCTGTAGGACATTCACGTTCTGTGGTTGCGGCAGCCGGCCACTCATCCGCACTTGCTGGCGCCGTGTAAGTATTCTTGGTCCGCTACCTTCGACACTTGTTCCATTTAAATTCATTCTTCTTGTCTGGTGGCCTATTACTTACAGCGATATAGATCACACTACGGTGCAACTTCAAACTACGTTCTGCGAGGGCACGATTCGAGTGTAGCGGCCATCTTCACTGATGGGCGCCAACCACACGGACGGGCTGTCTCACAAGGGATCATCCGCTGAAGCTTGATTGAGACCCCAGGTGTGTAGTTATGGTCTCCTGAGTGACGCTCTTGATCCTCACTGACTATAGAGTATGCTATATTGACACCTCCCTCGGCCGCTCCTCGATCTTTGGGAATCAACCCACTCTATATATCCGTGAGTTCACGTATGCTTTCCACCAGTTTCCACTAATAAGCCCTGTAAAATATCGCGGTATCATCTTATAATATCTTAACAGGTCCCGTAATCATCATTCTCGGTTGCTCGTGGGCCCTTACTTCAAAGTGATCTCACTGCGTGGATATCGCGGCAACCTTACCGTACGATCATAATACAGGATCTTCTACTTCCCTTCCATGCTCACCTCGGATTTAACTGAACACATACTGAGTGTCTCTTCCTGGGTTGGACATCACGAGAGATTGCACAACTTCGGAGGACACGAAGGTACATTTCTTATTATTATCCGAACTCATTGAGTGCGTCACATATTGTACTGACGACCTTGTAGGTACCAGCCTTTGTCTTGCATGGGCTGGGTACATGCAGGAATGTTAAGGCCGATATGTATCAATCTATTCCCGGCCTATGACACTATACTCCTATCCGGATCGTGCCAACGGACCAGTGATAGGAAAGTTACAACCACTGTTTTAAGACAGTCTCACTCCATCATCCATTCTTTCAGCCTGTGTACATAATGAATTCGGAGCATGAGGCATCGTTAAGCGCGTATTCACCGCCAACCTCGAACAGTATTGAGGTCTACATCGTTATGATTAACAGCCATCGTATAGGAAAAAGGTCAACAACTTGCCGGCCCTTCTCTTTTGCACCGTGGGCTTCGTATTTGCGACCTTACCGTGTCTATGAACCTGCATTGTAAGCCGTGGTGCTTTTTGGACGTATATCAGTGCTCATTCGTGGACCACTAGGACCAACCTCGCTTCTCATGATCACGGCTTATAGCCCTATACTGACGATCGGTCTGATGTGGAAACTTGGTTGAAGACAGTGCATCTGATCCCATTTCCACATGATTTACCTCGAGCATCATGATTCACTAAAATCAATTCGTCTATTTAGCGCGCAGTTAGGGGGCAGGTGCTTATGTGAGTAGGCTGTCCAGCATCATTTACATCTGACGTATCTGTGATAGAACGAGGTTATGACGCACGTGAAGAGAAATGACTGGATATCATCTGATTCACCAGCGCCTCCAGCATGGCTCGTGACCCACCTAATACAACTGTTGCACTTGGAGTTGGTTATGCATGCTCACGCAAGTCGACAGCCTTTCTGATGCAGTGCTTACATACGGTGGCAACAGCACCTTGATGAGGTGACAGTGACGCCGCCGCATGGCGCCAATTGCCGGACAACGCTCCTAATACTCACGCTGCCCGCTTCTGCGTTCTTGGATCCGGGGGATCTACCGGCGTGGATCATGATGATGACAGTGTGGTCGATATCCCACATACAGGACAGGCGCGGCTCATCCTGGCTTGCCGACTAACAAGGTATGCCTTATTTTGAACTTTTGGATCCGAGATGACCATTCCTGCAGTAGCGGTGCACTTTGTTGGATTATTCGGGCCTTTCCCAGTCGGGCTATGATTCTGCACAGGCCTCGGAAGACAAAGGTATGCCTCATTTAGACTTTGCTTCGTCTCCTTGAACCCGAAATAACGATACTGCAAATGTACATTTTACAGCCCCTGGGTTCTCACGTCGTGCTATGATTGTTTGGACCGCGACTGAATACGCTTTGCGCATAGCCATATACACGATTGCACCGACTTCGCGGTTCTCGTGATCGAGGCAAGGTCGAGGCCCTGGAGTTCATGTATTTTTTCCGTGCTCACGTAGAGGTTCACGGCGCATCTCCCCATGCAGGAGAACAAGTATCGACCTTGATTCGTCTTTCCGAGCGACAAAGGTATGTCTTATTTCGTCCCACCCATGCCTTACAGATGAGCCATCTAGCAACGCCGCAGATATATCCTACGCCGCCCATCATTCGACCCTTGGTGTTTTACTCCTTCCGTTGGGAGATGAGACACTGTGACGAAGGGAGTTGTTTTGCGTCTTGCCCTTGTGCTGTGATGAAGTCTATTGTCTGTGGTTTTCGGTTCGACGCAGCCTCGGGAAACAAATAATCGACGTGACTCCTCAATGACTTGGCCCTTCAATCGTCGGTCGAAAAGGCAAGTGGATATCTACGACCTTCGCCATCTCATGGTTGGGGTATGGTGGCACAGTTAGATGAAGGTTTTATTTTGCGTCCGATATCGCCAGTCATTGAAGCCTTGAGAATGCAGTCTTGATTTCGAGCCAAGATTGGTATACACCGTTCAACATCGTTTCTGGAGATGTGTCGAATGTAGCTGGGACAAACGCAACACTCGTTTCGTCGACAAAGGTATGCCCTATTCAATCCTACCCCGCCGCCTTGGGAACCGAGCTAGGGACGCTGCAGCCCGTATACGTAGAGGTATTCGGACCACCATTTAAATTAGCCACCTCGGGCTGCGAGGGAAAGACGGAGTGGAGCAGTGTCACAAGTCGTACATATCCCTGCTGAGTAGTCTTG